GAGGAGAGAGGGAATGATGGGAATCAAGACAACAGCATATCTATTACGTCATGTGATCCATTACACAACCAAGGAGGACCAGTCACGCAGGCTAGAGCTAAGAAGATGCGTGAAGCTTTAAATAGCCTTATTGAGCAGATCTGGGTTGAAAACAACATACAACAAGAAAATCGAAGCTTGGATGATTATCAAGGCATGGTAAATATTATTCAGGTTCAAGAGAAGCTTAGTTGGGTCATTTGCACGAAATTACACAGTTTGCGTCAAAATCGCACAATTTTGCCGCAATTTGTAGCAAACTGATATTTCGTGTTATCTTATATCATTTTTAGTGGTTTTCACGTTTTTTGTATTATTTTTGGGCTAAACATTTGTTTATTTGAAGCCCAATTCGTGGTTATTAGGTTTAGGACTTAGGGTTTTAGTTTCCTATTCAAGATTTGTTTTCTCTATTTAAAAGGCTTGTAACCCTAATGGGGAGGAGGGATTGAATCTGAGTTTTTGAGAGACTTTTCTCTTTGGTTCGTTTCAGAACTTTACAGAACTTATCAAAATTATTATTTTTTTTATAACCTGACTTATCATTCTCGTTCTTAATCGTTCAAGGGTGTGGCGTCAACCAACTTTATACCTCTGGTTCTTGTTGCGTCATAGACAACGGGTCAAGGTTTTTACCTTTGGTTCTTGTTGCGACATAAACAACGGGTCAAGGTCCTATTGTAAACCTGATTTAACTTTCCTGGAGTTTAGAAATCCCTTGTCGTGCTGTGGGTCTCATTTTTCTCTTTGGGGCTCTCATCATTAGAATTGCTGTTATTATTCGGGCATGAAGACCCCTTTGATTTTGGAATGGTTCTAATCTTTTTATAAAATTTTGGTGAGTCCCATATCTTTCCTTGTTCAATTCCCATTGTTTTTGCTACTTGCACATACCCAAAACTCCTTGTGCTTGTATGGTTAATTCTACAGATTAGTAGGTTTAGATTTGCTATTAAATTTTTGGGTTTGGGCACGTATAGTGTGGTTGCTCTGGGTGTGTCTTGTTGCTACCTTGGTATAGTTCTTCTATTGTTTTTGGTTATTGGAGGTATGAATCCATTCCAAAATTTTGGAAAAATACTACAAAATTTTAGGGGTTTATTGATGAGAACCCCAAAGAGAACAATGAGATGCACAGCACGACGAGGGATTTCTAAACTCCAGGAAAGCTAAATCAGGTTTATAATAGGACCTTGACCTGTTGTTTATGTCGCAACAAGAAGCAAAGGTAAAAACCTTGACCCGTTGTCTATGACGCAACAAGAACCAGAGGTATAAAGTTGGTTGACGCCACACCCTCGAACGATTAAGAACAAGAATGATAAGCCAGGTTAGAACGCCACAAGAATAATCTTAATAAGTTCTGTAAAGTTCTGAAACGAACCAAAGAGAAAAGTCTCTCAAAATCTCAGATTCAATAGCCTCCTCCCCATTAGGGTTACAAGCCTTTTAAATAGAGAAAACAAATCCTAATAAGAATAGGAAATTAACACCCTAAGTCCTAAACCTAATAACCACGAATTGAGCTTCAAATAAGAAAATGTTCAGCCCAAAAATAATACAAAAAAACGGGAAAATTACTAAAAATAACCTAAAATAACACGAAATATCAGTTTGCTACAAATTGCGGCAGAATTGTGTGATTTTGACGCAAACTGTGTAATTCCGTGCAAATGACCTCAACTAAGCTTCTCTTGAACCTGAATGATGTTTACCATGTCTTGGTAATCATCCAAGCTTCGATTTGCTTGTTGTATGTTGTTTTCAGCCCAGATCTGCTCAATAAGGCCATTTAAAGCTTCACACATCTTCTTAGCTCTAGCTCGCATGACTGGACCTCCTTGGGTGTGTAATGGATCACATGACGTAATAGATATGCTGTCGTCTTGATTCCCATCATTTATCATAGGTGTTTGTAAGGCTGTTGTATGATAAAATTTTGGTGCATTTTAATTACCTTTTACATGTTGTTTTTGTCACGCTCCAAAATTGGGAGCGAAATAGACGCCGTGCACTTGGGGGAGACTCCTACAAATGCACAAGGCTCAGAACTTGCTTAATTCATATCTAGCAATCCACTAAAATAAGATCCAAAATCTCAAAATAAAATCTAGCTTTTAATAGCCAAAGTTGACTAATCCAAGAGAGCACAAAAATTATACAACTCCATCAATAAAGTCATGATTATCTCCAAAGGAATCTAGTGTAAACAGAATGATCTGTATCCCAACATCTATGTCTAAAAATAATATGTCAAGCAAATTTTAACACAAAATAATCTACGTCTAAAACACAAGTGGTTAGCCTTCTAGTGCATCACTCCCCTTGGTTCCTTGCGTCCCTAGTCTCGTTACCTGAAATGGTGGATGAGGAAAAATTATGTGAGATAACTTAGTAAGTAAAAATATGGTAGCCTTTACTTATTTTAAAGTATGCCAGATAAACAATTAAAACTTAAACTGAAGGAAAACTCTTAGATATAAACATTTAATATATAGTAAAACTCATTAATGGTTTCTCAATTCGTCATGGCCAGTATTTAACAAACTTCCACTGATAAACGTTAGGAATAACCAGTGTACTATCCCACTAGCTAGATAACAAGAATAAATAAAGACAAATTGGTTTCTAGGAATACATATCAACATGTGCCAATGTTTACAACTTCCACTGGTGGGTTTCAAGAATCATGACCATATTGGAAGACAAAACCATGTAGGAATTAACAAGAAAATTCATAATTTACAAATCAAATTCAGATCATCAGGACAACCAAGTAAACTCCATATAGGCATGCTCAACTCAATAAAAATAATTTCATTTCAAAACCAGTCATGCTCATGTGCCAATGAAAATTGGTTTAGGTCCCGCCACCATCTCAAAAATAGTTCAAAATATGCTTTTAAAACCTTTACCTCAAAATCCAAGGGTATTTACCATAGTTTTACTTACTTTGCCTTGTAGTTGGACAATTAATAAAGAATTCAAGAACTCAAGGCAATTGAGGTGATTTAGAACCTATGCCACATCAAATAAACAAACAAGATTACAACATGCCCCATTTAACTAAATTGATTCCTAATTCCGTATCAAGTTCCTAACCAAAGGAACAATTTCTTCCTACACATCCTTGCCACTTGTACCCATTGAAACCTTACTAATATATTAATATGTTTAATCATACTTAAAACATGTTCAAAACAACATGAAAAGACACTACATATGGCGAGTTTACCAAGCAAATTTGTTGGGAAAATCAAAGTGGAAAAATGTGAGGAACCAAGCTCAAAACTGCCCCAAACAGCAGCATAAAAGCTGAGTAGCAAGGTGGGGTTTTTGCTATTTGAACATCCTAATTATCTGTTTAAAACAGCAAAGGTTTTCTAGGCAAACAATAGTAGAAAAATAAGCCAAAAACTGAGCTGAAACAGATGGTATTTCACTAGTGAAAGCAATTGAGATAGGGCATTATTTTGGTGTTAGAAACATCACCCAAAACAGATTCATTAATGGAACTACCAGTGTAGAAATTTTTACAACCAAGATGGAACAAAAGTAGTCAACAGCAAAGCAGAAAATCAACCACCAAACAGAAGCAAACAAGCAACTACAAGGGCATAAAGTTGTAACAGAAATTGTGAAAATAGGAAGGTTACAAAATAAGAAAAAGGGTAGGAACACGTAGAATTGAGAAGGCAACAGCAAGATTTATGCAAAAATAGGGCAAGACAGCAATAAATATAGTGCAGAATGTTTGCACATAATTAAGCCATTTATAAGGAAATTTTAGAGTAGAAAATAAAGGCTTCTCAATAGGATTTTCTGGGAAAAACAACAAAAAAACAGCTACTAAATGGTGTGAGATTCAGACTTAAAGAAGTTACATGTTGGAGTTTCCAACAAAAGGGATCAGATCTGGTGGCATTAAAATATGGGCAAAATCAAAGAGGAAAACTATAGAAACACTCCCAAAATTGAAAATCATAAGGGATTAAAGTTACCTCAATTCAAATCAAGGATGAAGAAACGAGTGTGTGGCTAATTTCTTATTGGAAGATGCTGGAAAAATGGCAACCTCCTATGTTGCTCAATTTACCCAACATGGACCAGGAGATTTAAGGGTATTAGCAGCAAGGTCTGGATTTCGATCATCATTTTTTTAAAAACCTTAAACTTATTCATCTCTAAATCTTATTGGGAGAATGAAGAAAAAACTAAGTCTCACCTATTTTTTCGGCGATAAGGCATTGGTGCAGGCTGGGGCTTGTTAAGGCAAAAATTCTAGTGAGGGGCTATGGGAAATCAAGCAAAAGGCAAGGAGAAGAAAAAGAAATTTGCCTTAGCCCCTTTATCACTAGATTTTCTCTTTTAAGCCCCCCTTAAGTTTGTAAATTTTAGTTATTAAACCCAGCAATAATAATTTCTCTTACATAAGTCCCTAGCTTAAATTTTAATTTTGGGATATTATAGTTTTAGGCTATAATCAATCTAGAAAATTCATGATTCCAAATTTTGATAGCATGACTTTATAATAGTATTTTGACCATAATTCAATCAGAGTGATTCTTGAAGATTATAGAAAACTGAAAGACTATGCCATGATTTATCCGTTGAACATTCAAACCAATTCATCCATTATCTAGGTGAAAAGCAAGCAGGAAGTTTTGGTTTCTAAAGGTAACTGGAATTGACAACTTAACCTTGTGATAGCATTCTTGGCCTAACTTTCTTTATGGATGTTGGATTAAAGCGACTCTTGATTCTATAGAAAGCTAAGAAAAGCATTTCAATTCATTTGTTTAACATTAGACACAGTTCTATCATTCTCATCTATAAAATCAATTGCAAGTTACAGTTCTAAATGTGTCCAAAATTTTCCATCTTGTTTTGTTGTTCCCAGATAGTGTTAGGATGGTTGGAAATGTGAAACTCTAAAATATGTTGTCATGATTGTAATTGAGGTCTTCATTCTTAGTTTAATTAGGTTTTTGAAATTCTTATTTGTGATTTTACTTGAAAATCTCTACTACTTATAGTTCAAGATAAGTAACATGGCATGTATCTTGAGTATTAAAATAGTTTTATTTGATTTTGGAATGGTGGTGGGACTCACTATTAAAAAATGATGTCTACTATAAATTACCAAACATTTAACTTTTATCTTTCTTTGGGTTAATTTAGTTGGTAAAATTCTTTAGAGCATGCTAAAGTTGCAGTTAGATTTTCTTTACTTAGTTGTTTATGAAATAAGTTCTAAATCTTCAAAAGCTTGATTTTGTGAAATGGCATCTATGGTTTTGTTATGGAGGTTTATAGTGGTATGAATGTTGGTTTTGTATGTGAAAGTCTATCATGTTATTCTTATTACCTACCAACTGGTGGAGTGTTAGCCGTGTTGACACATAATTTGACATGTGGAAACTGGTTCTTAGTATCCCAATTATTCTTAATTCTTGTTTCCTTGTCCTTGAATCAAGGCAAGTGAGTTTTATTTGCCGTTGCTATGCCATTAGCGCAAGTATGGCCACGATAGATTAATGAGTTTATTACGTGATTTTAGATGACACATTTACACAATACCTATTCTATTTAATGAGGATAAGTAAATATTAAACATGGTTTATCACATTTTAAAAAGGGTTAAATATTTGATCACGTTTGTTTGCATGCTTTAGTTTTTGACTTTTAAGTTATACAGCATGTTATTTATTAAGTGTCATATGCACGCTTTGCTTTTCCTTTTCCTTCCCAGCACTTCAAATACAATTTTTGGAGGTGATAGGGTTCATGGGGAGTGGCATAGATTTACTTTTAAAGTTAGATATTATTTGTAAATAGTTGGATTATGTTGATATTTTATGTTTTGAGTTGTTAATTTGGAGACTTGTTGAGATTAGAGGATTTGTGGATTTTTAGTTATAACTATTATGTTGGAATTTGAGATTCATAGAATATGTAGGTTTGAGGTTTTAATTGAGCAATCAAATGACTTGTTATTCTGGAATATTAAGGATTTTGTTTGCGGTGTTTGTTTTGATCAAGAGATAGAGTTAACATGATTAATGATAAATGATAAAGGTCTTAACGATAAGTTTTGTCTTACTGATGAGAACCCCAAAGAGAACAATGAGACCCACAGCACGACAAGGGATTTCTAAACTCTAGGAAAGCTAAATCAGGTTTATAATAGGACCTTGACCTGTTGTTTATGTCGCAACAAGAACCAAAGGTAAAAAACCTTGACCCGTTGTCTATGACGCAACAAGAACCAGAGGTATAAAGTTGGTTGACGCCACACCCTCGAACGATTAAGAACGAGAATGATAAGTCAGGTTAGAACGCCACAAGAATAATCTTGATAAGTTCTATAAAGTTCTGAAATGAACCAAAGAGGAAAGTCTCTCAAAAAATCTCAAATTCAATAGCCTCCTCAATTAGGGTTACAAGCCCCTTTAAATAGGGAAAAGTAATTCTAATCAGAATAGGAAACTAACACCCTAAGCCCTAATCATAATAACCACGAATT